AAGTTTGTCAAAACTTAGTTTTGTCTTAAAATTGGGTTATTAAGCAAGATGAAGTATAACCCATAGGTAGCAAACTGAATTATTTTCAATTTATTTTCTTTTCCTTATTAATATTGGTCATTATTTGAGAAGTAGTATCTTGCCTTGTAGAAGAGAACATTTTTTTTCTGCTTAAGAAGTCTCAATCAGAATTTGACTCTTGCTACGTAAGTGAAGTAGTTGAATGAAACAAAATGCTGAAGAAATTTTTTCCCTACCCTTCAGAATACAGTACTCTTTTCAAAAAGAGTTTTAGTGTTTCTAAGCTATTTCTTTGCCAGCATCTTCCATGAGGTGAGGGACTTGACATCCTTTAAAACTCGGAAGCAAAGCAGTGACTAGTTTGGTGCTTTGGTACAATTTATTATAACATCTTAAAGTAAGTTTAGAATTTGTCATAATTTCTAATTCATTTTTGGTGTCTTTATTTTAGGAAGGAAGTGCAGATAAAATCTTACATCCTGCTACGCTTAGAACTATTTCAGTCTGTTTTTCTGCGGCTCACCTGTGTGGGTTCTCTGGTGACTAATAGTGTGGTTGAACACACACTGTACACTTCTTTAGTAAGTGTACTAAATCGAGTTTACTTCCTTCAAGCCATCAGTTTTATTTGCACAAAACCCCTAGGCATGTAATATATTTGAAATACAGAAATCTTTGTCAAGTTTTGTTGAAATGGAGTATTCTAAGGCTGTTGAAGGACTTGGATATTGTATGCCTTATTGTTGTGTTTTTTTTTTAAAAAAGCTTAAATAAAACCAGTATAAGTAAATCTTTTTTTTGTAACATGTAATTTGTTGAGCTTTCTGTTTTAGATTCACTTGAATAAAGGGTCCAGAGAAGTTAAGTTAATGTAGCTGCAGCTACTTACTTCAAATTGAAATTACTTGAAGAAGAGAAAGAAGAGTTTGTTTTTGGGTTTTTTTTGAAGAAAGGCAGTTTACTTGTCAGGATATCAGCAAATACAAAGATATTAAGCAAATCATTCTTCCAGTTAACACAATTAATAACATAGTAAACTATATTTTAACATAAAAACGCGTAACTTTTGGATTTGGTTAAAAGAAGTGAATTACTAACTGATCCTCAGCTCTAATACCTTATATGTTGTTTGAAAAGAAAAGCTATCGTGTTATCACAGGACACACATTTTCAAAACTTACCACTGTCTCTTACAGCTTGGCTTCAGTTTTTCCCCAGTTAGCTAATCAAGGCTGATAAAGAGTTGGAACTAGATTCTTGGTTTATTGCGGTCTGTTTTTTCTAATCCTACTTATCTTTCATTCACACGCTTGTATACTTGACAGATGTTAATGAAATGCTTCTTTTGAACTCAACTTATACTATTCTATGAAAATTATCAGAACAGCGATGAATCCGTTATCCATAAAAGACATTTTTTTACCGCTTTGATCTCTGACAATTTGGCTTTAATCCTGGTCACTGTACACTGGCCTTCATTTTGTGTTCAGTTTATGTCTGGCTTTTGTTCCAAACTAACAGATAAAGCTAAGTGCTGTTCTGAAAAATTTCAGACTGTTTATGCTAGCAGGTGACGTATGACATGATATTGGCAGAGATGTGCAATCCCAGTGCTGGGAAAACTCAATTGTTTTAGTCTATTGATCTGGATTTTGTGTCCTCCTGTGCCACTTCCTTATTTCCCAGGTCTCTGAAGCAAAGTTGCTTGGTTGCTATGGAGGACTATCTCTGCAGTGAAGAAGGTTATAGCATTGTTAATTTTTGACATCTCTAGACTGTAGAGATGCCCTGGATAAAAGCCATGAAGAGAGCTGTGTGGTTTGAGACCTGTGTGTCTGCTTCCGTGGTCTTCTGACCTGGCTGGGAAGATCCTAGTTGTGCGTCTCTGACCTCGTGGGCAGCCAGACTTTGCCACTCCGCTGCCTGGGGTGTGCACACTGCTTAAACTTGCCCGCCCTTCTTACGGCTTAAAATTTAAATGTGTTTTCCTTACATATAATTGCAGATGATTACTAGAATTTTTCATTTTTTTTCCCTTTAAAAATAGGTATTCTAAAGGTCACTTTTGAATATCTGGTTAAAATGGAAGGGGGCTTGTTTCTTAGAGGTGTTTGGCTTGGGGTTTTGTGTTGTTTTGTTTGTTTGTTTTTTTCATTGTTTTTGTTGTGTTTTATAGTTTGTTGCACATTGAGTGTGATGCACTCAACTGTGACCAAGATTTTTTTCTGGACTGTAAGAAAGCGTGGTATATTTTTGACACTTGAAACAAATCTGTCAATGTGTTTTTTCCCAGATCTTGATGTTACAGTCTATGTCCAAATGTTTCGGTCACTTTTTCAAGAAATGAGTTGCTCAAGAGATCTGGGTTATGTGTAATTGTTAGTCATTTCACAAAAATTGTTTTTACTTTCATTCAAAAATCTTAAGCTCAAACTTTACATGCCAGTTGTTGAAATGAGGAAGTACTCTGCAGATCTACTATCAACATCTACCTGACTGAAAAAGAAATCACCCGAAAACTGCCGTACAGATCCCTTTTTTAATTATTATCGCATTCATCATTGCATGGAACAGAGCACGTTCCTGTCATGAGTATACATTGATGTACAGTTTTATTGGTCATCGGTTTTGTCCTTGGATGTAAGCAAGAACTAACGCTTTCTGTATGTAGTAGGGGGAATTCTTCCAGATACCATCAGTGAACAAAATAGCAGTGTGCTTCTTGCTTGAGAAAATCAAGCAATTTATTCCCTGTCTTACTAAGTTCCTGTGCCCTGTCTGTAGTACTGCTGTTCTTTACACTTTCTGCTGAGTGCTTTTGCCGCCGTACCAAGAACTACCACGATTATGTCCACTGTTTCACGTTTCTGGAAAGCTGCACTGGTTGCTGGTTGGAGAGGCATTGATCTGTTACGATGAGCAGACGGAGATTTTAAGGTCATATGCAGTTCAAGAGTGAATCACAGGCCTTGATAGTATGCTTCTCCACAAAGAAGATGATTTACTTTGTCACTGAAAATAAAAGCAGCTAATTTATAGGCTTCTAATACTAAAAGTGCTTTTTAAGCTCATGCGCTTTTGTTCTTGCATCTAAGTTACACAGAAGGGTAAAAATCTCTTGAGCTTTACAGGCTTTGTACGTTTTATTAACATATAAAATCTGTATTCCGAATGTGTGTTGCAAACAAAACGGTCTCTAAGAATTACCGATTGGAAGGAATCACGCTGAGTTGATTTATGCAGAATTTAGGAAGAACAGCAATGCTCTTTGCAGTGTTTCTGTGTTTAAGTGTGCCTTTACTTTCTTCACGTTTTCTTTATTCTCATTTCTGCCTGGGGTGTTCTGCGTGCCCCTTTTGGCTCTCCTGATCTGAATCTCTTACGTGGTCACAATGCCACTTGGTATGTTTGAAGCAGTTGGTGGTTAAGCACAGGTCGGCCCATTTCTGCCAACGTCCAAATAGTTGTGAAATCTGCTATTCCCTTGATGGGTACCTCTCGTATGTAAAGTTTTTGTTTAAAACAAGAGTTAACTTGCCTCTCAGCCTGCTTGATGGAGCTACAGTGTGACAAACAGACCAAATGCTGATATTGTTCAAATGGTGCATCTGTGTGAGTTTGCCCTCAGTGCGCAGAGCAGTGGATTCTCCCTGACTCCTTTTTCACTCCTCACTCTTATCTTCAATGTGTGGCCTCATGCCTTATCTGTCTCACACTATTCCAAGCTTGCCATGAACACAGACCTGTTATTTTCCTGTCAATCGTGTCCATTGTGCTGGTTGCTGAAGTCAGAGCAGCTGGACGTCACGACCCTGTGAGATGATGCAGTAACAACTTGCTGTTTGTGAAATGGGGCCGTGGCATGGAGATGGGGTCAAAAGTGACCGCTGATTTTTGGATGCTTAATGTGAGATTAGCCTGGGGATTTTTTCAGGGCATGTAATGCCTCAGAGGGGAAAAGCACAAGTTTAACACTTGGGGAGAGGACGGGGCAAAACTCTTTTCTGAATAAGACAAGCATGCAAGAAAGGAGAGACACTCATTTAGTG